TTCCTTTTTGTTGGACGTATCGCGCGGTACGCGATTAAGCTCAAGTGCGTAAAGCGACTTTCATTCATGGGCGATACTCATGAACGAGGGAGGCGTCGCGAGAGCGGGCGGGGGAGAGAAATCGACGAGAGAACGAAGCAACCTCATGCGCGTCTTTCGCGAGGATACATCAATTGGCTCTATTTGATAGACATCGCGATGCAAACAAATTAAAGATTCCAATTGAAACACAAATATCTTATTTCAACCGTGAAATCTCCATCGTTCGACCGATAATTAATAACGTGGAACAATAAAATTCACGCGGAAATTTACGGAAGCAAGTTTGAGGATCGCGTAGAATCGGGCTCGCGTATCGATATTTATATATCTCGTACCCTCCTTAGATACGTTACTGTATATACACCTTGATTGAGCCGCTCTCACAGCAAGGTTGACTGGAGGAGGGGGCAGGAGGGGGGGGGCGAAGGTCAAACCGCATGAGGGAAGCTGGGGAAGGAGGGGCCATCTTTGCGAGAATGTATCTTTTCATGAATGAACGAATCGAGGAGGGAAGGAACGACATCGCATTCTCAGGGATTGGGGTGATCGCTCTCTTTGTTGATACGCACTGACCCCAATTTATAATGCGAGATATCCGATTTTTTTCTACAAAGAGGGTTGTGTAACTAATCGAATAGGGGACAGCCCGATCCTTTTACGCGAATCGCGTTGCGGAACATTAATTTAGATCACGGTGCAATCGATGATAAATCGATAATATTGAAACAATGTAACGTAATAATAAAGGTGGAAAGAATTCTCCATCGCAGCAATCAAATTCGATTTTAAAAGATAAGCTAAGATAATATTTATCAACAAGATCTCAATTAGATAATGCGCCTTCATCAGATGTAAAAATTATTCTTATTTTCGAAAGCACAAAAGATGGCTATTCTGTCAACGTTCCAAGTAATTTTCAGAAAAATATTTAAAATTTAGTTAAATTAATTCCTGTAGATTACATTTTTTGCTCTGTTTCCAGTCACATATGGGTCACAATGTCCTATCGCAATTTTAGCGATCTCAAAGTATTTGAAAAAAATTTACAAAAATTTGTATATATTCCTTGACATTTATGGAAAAATGATCATTATAACAAAAATTAAAAAATAAATTTTCATCGATTAAACCTTTAACATCTATCAATTACAATATCGATAAAGTCAAAATGGCCCATATGTAACTTTTAAATATTAAAATATTTGATCATTTTTTAAATAAAATTCAATCTCTTTATCACGTATTCAAAAATTCGCAATGCAATCTATCTCTTGTGAACGGCGTAAGTGCAAAGAAAAGAATGAGGATAAATAAACATCTTAGGAATTCTATGCTTGAATTTGAGCGAGCGATACCTCAATGTTACGTACAATTTTTGCGGATGTTGTTCGCGTTTGTAACAATGGTTTTGGAAATGGTTTTATAAATTAATTTCATGGCCCGCGTGAAATTAACAAAAACTTGTCAAACTTAAGATAGTCGGGCGATGGGATAACCGTCTTGATTCTCGAGTTGTACACGTTTCTCGAGCTTGGACAGCCCGTTCCGAGAGAGTCCTATCCGAGAGACTCCGGTCCTATATTATTCTCTTTCGCGTTTAAATTAGCGAATTGACGCTAACCAATTGTCACGGTACAACCGGCTGTCAATCGCGTTCGCACGAGCATCGTCCTCTCGCAGTCGTTGATCCATAAGCTGGTCCACCTGTCCGCCCGCGCGAAATCCACCCTGCGCACCGAGTGGCGAGAGAACTCGAAATTCGATACTCGGAGAACGGAGAAAAAGAGAGAGAAAGAGAGAGAAAGAGCGACTCGCGAGTTTCTCGGCGAGGAACGAAGCCGATCCCGAAACGGAATCCGAGAAAGGCGGAAACCGATAGTCGAAGCGAATATCCCCGTGCATCGTGGATGTGACATTAGGGGGAGGAGGTGGCCACACCGGAAGAGGGTAGCGATACAGAGACCGAGAGAGGAGGAGGAGGAAGAGAAGGAGGAGAAAGAGAAAGAAAGAGAGAAAGAGAGGGAGGGCGAGCTCGACGGAACCAGGAAATGAACGAGGAGAGAAACGACGCTCCTCGTCGTCACCATTCGCGCACCTGATCCTCGAAACGCGCGAGCAATAAATTCGCCCATTCTCCGGGCTTTTGCGTCCCCATCTCCGTCCGAGGTTCACTGACAGGCCGTTACCACGTACCGCGAATCGCCAGGCTCGCTACGAGCCGCGACCTTACGTCATCATTTATGAACGTCGACTGACCGACCACTACACTAGCGCGGGCGCGGATCCGCGAATCGCCCCCGACCTCGATGGGAGAGGCACTCGCGATGGTGGGACCGCGAAGATGGTCGCGTGCATCCGAAAATGCCCGATCGTTCCATTGATGCACCAATCGCGCGCTACGTGCTCAAGCATGCTCGAGGATGCTCAGGAGCGGCCCGCGACAAATTAAATACGTGTCCTTAGATATTGAAACAATCCTCTTTTTTTCTCTTTCCAAAATCAAAATTGACGGAGAGACTTGTACTCGTGATACGTGACACTAAAAAACGAGTCACTATTACAACTGTCGTTCATTTCTTTTGTTCGCTCTTGCAACTTTTCCTCGTAATTATTCGCGCTTAATTAATGTTAAACAATATCTTATTCCTTTTACATTTTATACCTACAACTTTGAATTATATTTTTCTTAAATAAGAATAATTTTTCTGTCTTGTTGAAGATTATTATATGCTTTCCCGGTTATGTATCATTTATTTGATTCACTAAGAGTTTGCAGAGGGTAATGGTTCAGCTTTGCACGCTCCTGGTTCGGTCAACACTGGTGCACGCTCACCCCACCTCGCAACCACGTCATTCATAACTGTGCAACATGGCCTTGTACCCGGGACAATCGCTCGTACGAAAATTCGATCGGGTTATCGCAAAATTGCTGCGTTTAACGTATTCGATTCTATTTGGCGGTTTATTGAGAAGTCTTAAATTTTTTCATAATCTTTATCGAATCTCTTACGTATAATAATTATTTCACAATTAACGTGTCATGTAATTATATATATGCATCTACATAATTATCATATCTTATAAAAACATTTATTAGAATAGACAAAACTTATTATAAAATTAAATCTGAAAAACAAATATATATTTGCGCGTTATATTTCAACATATATAGAATCATATACAAGATAGTCAGTGTAAATTTTTAAGAATTTATTTGTTCAATTTTCTTATTTTTTACATTTTTAGGGAAATCTCTAGTTATATTCACTATTTTTTTTTAAATGTTTTTTTAAGGATATTTTTCTATAATAAAAATTATTGTCAATGAGACAATCAACTAGAAAATACATAAAGTTTTACAAGTTTCATTGTTAAAATTCTGAATATCAATCTTGATTCTCTTGAATTTTGATTTCGAAATTAAAGGAATATTTGTATTTTAAATATTATTACATTACAATTACCTGATGTTTTTTTTGAACATATAGTTTTAAACTCAAGTTGATAATGTTACTAAATTTTGTTTTTAAAACAAAAATTGAAAAATCGAACATTTGTTTTCATTTTTAATTTGATTTTGTAATATTTTACATTTATATATTTTCACATTATTTGCTTACAAATACCTTGCTCTTTTTTCAATTAATGAAGAAACATTAACAAGTTTTAATTTAAACAACTCACTAATATTTTACATTCGTATAAAACGCAGTCTTACGTGATATGTGAGATTTTTATACATTAGCAAAAGATGTATTTTTAAATTTAATAGTATATCCATACATCATATATCTTTCTCTATACATATACATTTTTCCATTTCACTTTTATAAATTTGCTCAATTTTATAGAAAAATTAATGTAATTTAATATTGATGATAAATATACTCTGAATGTGACAACAATAAATTATAAAAACATTTGCACTTTCATTTTTAGCAGATATCAATTCTATTCATATATATATATGCACTTAAAAGCTACGAAAGATATTGCAAAGCACATTTTTTATATAATGCATTCCGACAATCTATATTGAGAAATCATTTGTTAGAAAGGCAATTAGAAATGAATAAATTTAATGAATCATTTTTAAAAAACACGATTAAAGTTTATAGACCATGTCCTACAAGAATTTAATTAATTAGTCATATATCAAATAAGAAAACCCATGGCAATTATATATAGTTTATATCGAAAAACATTAAATTAAAAGACGTTCATTTTCAATGCTATTATTTGTATATGCCTCATTATTTTTTCATTAAAATGTTTTGAACTAACTTTTTACATTTTGTTGTGCAATTACTTTAATGAAACTATATCGGAACGCAATAAATTATCAAATACGTATAAGAATATTAATGAAGCAATTAAGGAAGCAACAAATATCATCCAATATATTTCATATTGAGATAGATTTAAATATTTATCAAGATTCTTTTTTTAACATAAATATGATGAGCAAAAATCGTACTTTATCGCTATATTTTTAAGTAATATAGAAAAGAAATAAAAGAATTAACGTAAAGTTTTAAACAATTAATCTATTATGCGATGCGAGCATGTTTATATGCGTGAATGGATGAGTATATATGTGTACATTAAACAATAAGAAAAGACGCAATTAAAGACTCGCTTTACTATTAGAAAAAGGAGATATTTCAAAAATTATTCAAAAATTAATGATTAATTGAGCGAGATAATTGTTGCTTTGCATTATATTAATTTAATCATCTTGTTTTTCTCTATTGTATGATTCGAAAATTGAATAAAATTGGAAAGAAAGAGCACTAATAAAAATAATTGTATATTACATTTGGATTGTAATAGATTAAAAATATCACAAAATATTATGCATATATAGCGAAGAAAAATTAAAAATAAGAGTCAAACATTGTTTCTTTTTCTATTATCTATTTTTTTAACAATATATGTCAATGATTTATTCTTTTTTCCTTATTATTTGTTATATCCAAAGTAATTTCTAAGATACATTAAGCTCTATGAAAAAGATAACTCTCTTCTTATTTAATTATATATATTACACAATATATGAAGAATCTACTTAATGTTGTAGAAAGGGATTGAAATTGAAATTTGATTGGTTAGTTAAAAAAATACTTTTCATTAGAAACAACAGTGATCGATTAGTATATCGTCAATTAAGTGCTCATATAGACTCTTTCTTTGTATTTATACATATGTGTGTGTGTGTGTATGTATATGTATTCTGTTTATACTGTATTATTACTGGCATCGTTTCTCTGGCAATCATCTACATCTTCCAATAAAGAAATTACGGAATCAAAAATATCCACATCTCGTTGTCGATGTTTCTTGATGGAATGAACACTTTTTGGATCCAAATCCGAGACTCTGACACTGCTTAAGAAATACAGTTGCTCCGAAAGCTTAATCGTATTTTCCATGGGCACTTTTGACAAATTTTCCCTGTGTAAGAGAAAAAACACAATCATCAAAAAATTCATTACCTCTAATCAGTTATCTGATACATATTTAATATAACGAAAGTAATGGTCCGCTTGTTGCATTTTCATTATTAATGTGGTAAATGGTTGATCACGTGTCATATTTTGTGAGTAATTTTACACACATTTTATAAACCAATTATAATTATATCATTTGGGATCAAATATTTATAAATAAATAAAATGAAGCAATTGCTCGTCGTAATGTCGCATGTTGGACATATTATACGATTTGACTAATAATTGTAAAGAATAATTAACTGGAAAGCATTTCCCCCTCACAGCAACTATTGTATAAATTCAATTTTATCAGTTTTGCCTTTGTTGGAAAATTTATGCAATTGTCGGATGCTTTGAATACGAAGTGAAAATACGAGCTATTGTCTCGAACAATGCACTTACGGATGCAATTCGCGGAAGGTCATTAATATCGAGCAATCTCTGGCAGTGGCGAATAAAAGATAATTTCGTAACATCGATAAATGTTTGGCGATAATCTGCATATTTGTCTCTTGCTCGTCATCGTCACTAGTTTTCTGATTATGCAAACTCGTGTCTCCATAAAATAACCGACGCGAATCTAGGTTGGCACTAATTTCTATTTGCGACGTGAAATCGCCATTTACGACTATTCTCTTGACATTAGAAGATAAGATACACTTTGAACTGGCACTGTTTTCTTTAGAATTGCCATCGTATTCTCTTGCAACATTGTTGCTTTCAAGAAGCGCTTCAGAATTGACTTCTTTCATGTATTTTGTCTTCTGAATGACGGCATTCTGAAACAGAGAAACATTTTACAATATACTTGTGCATTCTGATAAAAGTTTTGCATTAAAAATATATATTACATACCATAAATTTGCCGGGTAAAGCATGAAAGATTGCGCTGACGTGAGTCTCGTCTCGTAATTTCATCAAATCGTCATATATCGTATCGTCATTCAGTGACGATGCAACGTCGGAATAAATGCCGTAAATGTAATTGGTATTCACGTAAGACAACTGCTGCATGTTTCGAATTCGCTCCAGTACCGAGTTTCTCGGCAGTTCATCGCCGTTGAAATTACAATTCTGCGAAATGGCAAACATTACACATTATAATTAAGATATTAGATCATTATTTCGATATATAAATTATGAATTATACAAAATCCTACCTTTCCCGCAAGGCGAAGGTAGCGTTCAGCTCTCGCGACTGTGTCCGGTTCGGCGCAGAATGTCGGAGCTTGGTTCGCGGATAGGAGAAAATTACAGCAAGCGATGGATGACTCTTCCAGCTGCTCTCGTGCGAAAGGCCGCGTAAGGGCGGCGTACACCAAACTGCAAAACTCGTCGATGTTCGAGCGTCGAGCTCGCTCGTTGCTCGCCGCATTCCGAAGCCATTCGTTCAGCACGTCCTCGAGATCGTTGAGCGACGATTCTTGATTGTAGACGACGACGCCGTCCTTAAAGATTCTCAGGTTATTTTGCGGTGACCTCAGAAGTTCCTTCACAGCAGTTTTCATGCGCGCTTCCGCTCCAGAAAACAGTTCGAACGGACAATAATTGCTACGAGCGGCAATGTCTTCCTTACGCAGCTAAAAAAAATTTGTACGGCTCATTTCGGTATCTCATTATTTCAGTGTCACAATTTATGCGAATTTTATTACTTGTAAAAATTCATTAAAAGACTCAACGCTTTTACCTTGGCATACTGGTTGAGGCAATACGGGCATACGGGAAATTTCCGCTCCGCCTTTGGCAAGTATCCCTGTTTCGGCTTTATCTCCACGCAGAACGTCGAATGACTTCGAAACACGGTTTCATCGATTCCCAACCGCAAATCCAGGAACGTGTAATCCGGAAACTTTGTGGCGTACGTGTCTGTGATTACTTTGTGTTGGCGTTTCTCTGCAACGAACGAAAACTATGAGTGCCTCGCTAGTATTTTTATCTTCAATGCATTCTTTTATCGCTCTTATACGAAAGAGAATACAATAAAGAATATATTGGAAAATAGATTTCCCAAGATGACCAAGGTTTTTTCGCTCAACAAATGTGAAAAGTCAACATAAGATGCATATGTGCGTATATAAAAATACGGTCGTAAAACTCTACTAAATTCTAAAATAAACCTCCTTCGGCGAGTTATATCGAACGAGATGCGTAGGTGTGAAACATTCTTACGATTCTCGTGATGCAGAAATAGAAGAAAGTCACGCGAGTCGCCGCGATGCCGAGAGAGCCAAAGGTAAATATTTAATGAATAATGGTAGACTAATTTTGTTCGTAGAATATAACGCGCCAAATATAGATGTTGAGAGAATTTGTGATTTTTATTACGTCGCTCGCAATCAAGGGTACTAACTGAAAACTAATTTAAAAAACTAACTGAAAAATAAAAAGAAGGGAAGAAAACCGCAGACATAGAAAATGTAAAGAAATAAAGTCTGAGAATCATAACGAGCATGTTAATATGTTAAATGACTAATTGTAAGACAAAGATACTTTTTCCGATAAAGATATCAAAAGATATCCAAGTATCATCGAAGCAAAGAAACGAAACGCCACGTATCTTTTTCCGCGTATTATCTTTTCTTACAACTTTTATAATCGGTAGATACGATGGTAATCAAAGTACAATGAAACGCATTAAACATGTCGCAATATTTTAAGAAATTACGTTGACGCCTTCATATCGGAAAAATATTCTCGATATAGATATTGAGATGATTCGAGATGGAATGAAAACCACAGGCTCGTCGCGCGATATGGATCTAAACACAGCGCGTAGTCTCTCCGTCCCGGACGATTGAGCGACGATCATTTATCGGACGTAGGATAAATGAACGAGCGCACGGTTAAACTTCCCCTACGCGCATTTGCCTCCGTCCGAGATACACGCGGCCGTAAGATATCGCCGCAATTAAACGTGTCAAACAAAAGTTGCCTCGTTATCTCGCTTATCCGGCGAGATATTCGGGTGGCGTCCCAAAATTCTACGCCATTAATCGTTATCTCGTAAGAAGGAATGTTAATGGCCGGATGTACAAATAGCGTAGTTGCATCACAAGAACGTGCGTCGTTGGAAAAAAATGTGTACGAAGGTAAATGAGTCACTTTAATTACCGCGATGATTGCCAATCTACCGATATCTGTCGATCGTTGATGGAATCTTGAGCAAAGAGAGAAAAAAGGATAAAAATTTTGTCTCTTATCGGTAATCAACTAAAAACATTAAACACACGAGGTAAATATTTTATTTTTTTTTTCGTGTCGAATATTTGTCATCCATCGCGCACAAATACATCCGATGGCAAAAATTTCTCTTTGCGTGATAAGCGAGAGATGTTCGCGTCGAGGGATAATGATACATGCCAATTTTGCTAAATGTCGTGTGCTTGCATTTAAATTTCGTGCATCGCACGCAAATGATTGTTGATCACGCGTGTTTTTCTCTTCAACAGAAAAAAAACTAACCATTTGATACGAGGAACTCTTTTTAAGAGCTATTTCCCGTTTAAAATGCCTGTCGAGTAATTTTGCGAACGTTGTACGTCTATTAATATTAATATAAAAATCGTTTATTATCTAAACGAGCTTTAAATAGAAAATCTTTGCCTAGCTAGCCTCGCGAAATGCACACATCTTGTGTATTAAATTACGTCTATTACGTAAATTGTACCTTTTTAAGATGTAATTTACGCACGTTAAAGAGGTCAATTACTCCGGCCAGCCATTTTCGTTTAACCTTATACTACGTCCGTTCCAGTCTACGTCAGTATTGTTGACTATATCGAGAAAAGACCGATTACATCACGTTCGATGAAACGGATAATCGAAATATTCTCACGCCCAGGTATATAACATTATGCATTTCCACGGCGTTAATTCTCATTGTCCGTTTCTCATTATCGATCGTCGAAGGTAAACTGCTCAATTATTTATAAATGAAATAATTCTGAAACGAATCGCGATACCGTTCAATTTATATAACTTTGATCGAGATACATATTTTTTTACAATTTCCTTTTATATTATTTCACGCTCAAATTGTTCCAAGCGTAAACGAAAGTGTGCCGATCGGATATTACATTTTTTTTTTCATTCAGAATAATTATAAAACTATACCAGAACGAGCGACAAGTGCATAGCGAGCGATATCAGCGGCGGCTATGCAGAGCCGTGTAGGTTTACACAGTCTCTGTTTACACATTCCTCGTTTCAGTCTTTGAAAATAAACATCCGATATACGGCCGTTCGATCGCAAAAATATCCCTGCGACTGACGTGGGTCGATCTCTCTGAAAATAGGCGATATCGAGGACTGCCCTCGAAAGCGGGAAGCGTGGGCGATTAAAAAAGAAGAAAAAACAAAAGGAAAGAATCCCGCGAGATTGTGGCAACTGCGGCTCGTTGCGTTAACGCACCTGTGCGGAGGTAGTTTACGCGCGAGGTTTACACAGTCGCGGGCCGATAAAAGCGCGGCGTTACACGCTAAAATGTTGAATCGCAAGAATCTACAGAGGTAATTGCATTATTTCGCAACATGAATTTCATTTACATATTAATCGCTTCGTCGCGAGGAAACCGGGAGGCTCGCTTGCACCCGTAAGTATATGTAACGAGTCATCATTTTCATAGGATATCTTTTTTTTCGAAACCAAAGTCGCGCGCGGGATGCCGGAAATTGCGATGCGCCGTTTTGGTCGTGTATTTTGCCGAGGACGGGAAAGAGGAGAGCGCGGCCGATCGCGCCGTTAATTAGACATTAATGAGAGCGGCCGGTGAGGATGCACGCGCGATTCGGTTTTGCACGGGCGCATTAGATCAATCTGGCGTGTTATTAGTGGAAACGACGACGCACGGGTGAACTTCGCCGACGATTAAATTGACGGCGAAATTGCCGCTATCGGCGGCGAATTTTTCCCGTCTCCGCGTCGTTCGATAATAACGCACACGCACACGCGCACGCTTCCGTGCGCTACACACACGGTGCGACAGAAAATCGATACTGCCGTATCGCGCGGGTGCGCAATATCGTCGGAGATAACAACGCGCGATTTTCCAGCCTGTGTGCGAAGCGGCTTTTAAATAAAAATATCGACAGTCGCGCGGGAGTTTCACAATGTGTGTATAAAGGCCAGCGATAACCCGCGCGAATAGTAACCCGAAAGCTTTCGCGTTATATCGGAGATATGACACGCTGTACAATGACTTTATTTCGATTAAACTTTCAACATATTTGTCAGAAGAGTAACAGCGAAACGATTAATTGATTCGCGCATCAATCGGAAACGCAATATCGATATTTAAAGTATCGGCGCGATACGCCGCGAGGTAAAATTTGAAATTGCCGAGAAAATATCGAGAATCTCGCTTCATCAAGCGATAGAAAGAAAATTAAATGCGAGTCGCGGTAAAAGGATCGTTATTTTTTTTCTCTTAAAGCATCATTTGACTTTCAAAGACACCTTTTCCCTTATAGAAATTACTCGTTACGTGCGAGCAAATAAGATAATTGGCCATGTTTCCTTTTAACGATACTCCTCGAAATAGCCGGAACACACACACACACACATACACACACATACACACCGGTCGAATAAGATCTCGCCGCTGGAACCGCAACAGCTTCTCGCGAAATATATTTTCTAGCCCGTCGCGTAATGTCGTTTACCCTCGCCTTCTCGTTTTGTAATCGTTGACCAAGACGCCAGAGGAGGGCGGAGATGGCTTCTATTTCCAATCGTCGCCGGAGAAAGTGCCAACGCGTCGGAATATCGACAAGTCCGCGAAAAGAAAAGCGGAAGAGCCACGGCCGACCACTTGTTGCATCCGCAGTCGCGACCGACCAGACCGGAGGATGGACTTTTGGTCTGTGAAAAAAAAAAAAAAAACGGATTCGGTAAATCGATAAATTTATCCGGATTTGTTCGCGAGCGCAACGAGACGCAAAGCGGAAAGAAATCGCATCGTATTACGTATGCAAATTTGGAAAATTCAAGCGGCAAACTCGATAAGGTGTAACCTTTGCAACCTAATAACGTGTAAAAATCGTTACCTTATACGAGAACAAAAGGCTGCGCGAAATTGCCTCCTCGTTGCAAGGACACGATTAATCTTCGTCGTGCTAATTAATATAAGATGGGATTAATTCGCAAATATGTACGCGAGCGTGAAATCACAATGGGACATCTTTCGATTAGCATCTCTTCCCGAGCACCCTCGTACGCAGCCGCGCGTACATCCTGCCTACGCGTACCACCCACCCGAGGGTTCTTCCACGATGCTCCCTATTTCGCAAAGTCTCTCAAACAGATTTCCGGTGGAAAATATATACCGGACACATTCCCTCGCGTGTCGGATCGACGCTAGCTTTGGACACCTGTGCATAAACAACAACGGTAGTTGACGCCCACGCGGGTGAACGAGTATCCATCGCGCGATACGATTAATCCGCAAACGTTGAAACACAAATGCACGCAAACTACCTCCTTGCACGAATAATTCGAGCGTACAATATTGATTATAAAATAAATAAATGGAGCTAAAGCGCGATAATTACACATGTACGTGTATACGATTCTTTTCTTTCTTATTCACAATATTTCTCCTTCTATTTACTGTTGATATTAATTACTTTCGTCTCACTGGTATTATTTGTTTGCTCATCTCCGGTTTATTCGCTATAACATTTGCGTTAAGTCTATAAGTATCGTAAAGGTAGATTAATTATCAATATTTTAAAATAATCCCGATAAGAGAGAGAGGAGCCGGCTTTGCGCACACATGATCGATGGATCCGATAAGGCGCGAACGACGACGATCGCCCTCGGGGCGATCTCGCATCGAGAGAAGAGGGAAGTAGTTGCACGAAGGCAAAATTGTCGGAGCGTTGCATACAATGGGCGGATCTCCTTCTCGCCGATAGCGAATGATAAACGTCGCTGCATTATTCAAAAATAAATCCGTGCGCGCGTATAATAAATGTTCTCCAACAAAACGCAACCGAAGGGCGAGGGTAGGCTAGAAATCTCCGCGGGATAGAGTTTGGTTTCTCTCATCGAGCAAAGCTGCCGGCGTTTCTCTTCTATAGGTTTTTTACTTTCTATAGTTTTACACCTTAATATTAATTGACTGCGTTTATCGAGGCTAACGATTTTCCCGAGAGAATCGTATCGTCGTATCACTGAACGAAGGTCCATTTGTTTACTACACTTGTCGAAGATGAACGAGTAATTCTATCGATCTGCCATGGATATACGACGCTAAGCTTATAGGTTTTAGATAGGGGAATGCGTGAAAAGTAATAAGATTAAAATAAAATGTACGTTAATGGGATTAGAACACTCGTTATCAAAGCTTAAGCTACCGTGATAACGCTCGACGGTGAAAAAAATATTTATATCGATACGAGTATTTATTAACTCGCAGATTTTTCTTCCATTAATTACTATAATAATCGAACTTTTGTTGCCGACGTCGTTCATTATTATTATCTACACGTGTATAGACGGCGATGTTATTTATTATTTTCTATCTTTTACACTTATTAATCGATATCGGTACTTTTTGTGCGCTATCGAAAGTCGAGATAAGAGAGGTCTGATATAGATTTCATTGACGTATTTTCCCTCAGTTTCCGCGTGTATTTTTTTCATCTCCTTGAAATCGATGTCAGCAAAACAGGGACGAAATTTTTATAGACGACAACGCGCGATGCAAAGACTAATGGGAAAGAATCTATTTGCGTATCTTGTTAAACTTTTACCTAACGTGTTATTTTTCACGATTTTTTTCGTCCTTCGTCTAGATCGGTGATCTCGCGAAGATGATATTTAAATACCTAGCCTTACACGCACACGTTGGCTTGTCCGAGGCAAGTGTCCTTCTCGACGAATATCTCGGGGTCGCGGCCTTTTCATAGGACTAATCGCGCTTGGAAACGTGCGAATATGGTGGCTACGAGAGACATATCTCGCGCTTCAATTGAAATTTCTCTCGCAGATTAAAAAAGTTTCTTTTGTGTGGAATTTCAGGATAAATTAAGAAACATGATCGAAATATGATTCACCGCGGGATACGTATATCTCTCGAGGGATTAAAAAGAGATAAGACAACGCGCAAGAGTCAACACAGGATTCGTGAGGCTGGCTTTGAGCATCATCTCGAATTCTTCTCGTCTGATGACATCGTTTTTCAAGAGCACGTGGCTATAAATGGAGAAGGTGAATCGTAGCCTGCGAGAGCCACGCATAGTAAATTTAGTCCTTCGAGGCGATTCTTTTAATTCCGAAAAGCTCAAACAAAAAGTGCCAGTCAGGACAGAGACATTTGTTCGAATTGCAAATTTCTGTTCAGTATTAGTCAACAGGTTATATTATTATTTAGTGATAAAATTGCATCTTTTATTTTTCGAGAATGTGTGACTCGCGATTAATTAATGTTAATTATTCTCAAGGAATAAACGAGATTTTCGCTATAATACGATATGATAAATATTATTATCAACCGCAGAGATTCTATTTCTCTCTCACCATATATGCGGCTTGTCACATGTAAAGGTGTAGATACATATGACGTTTTTAATCGTTGGCATCGATCATTGTCGAATGGGAAGGAATTTTCATATATCGCTAAACATTTACTCGCCGTCTACGTCTACGAGAGATCATTTCGCGCAGAGAATGATTTTGACAGGCGCTCTCTCTCCCTCGAATAGAAAGTTGTTATCGTCGAGATAAAATGTGAATATATAATTATCATGCCGCACCATTGCGATTATTAATAACAGTGATGTCTAATTCTCTGTGATTTAATGTAACAGAAAATAATGCACGTGTGTATATCATATACGAGTATATACTTTTATCTCGATAATATTTATGATTTTGGACAAAGTGTACTTTTACAAAAATGTAAAAAGAAAAGAGATGATTTTCGATAATATTCTCGAGAAAATACTCGATGGCATTGTAACATTTGTCCGTCTATTCGCTGTGATGGCAAATATTTTTTCGACATTTAAATTTCTATTCGATGTGAATTCTGCAACCGCGAAATACCGCTACACGGGATTTACGAAAACAATCAAATTTCCGAATTTATTCAAGTCTTCAAATTTGGCAAACTTCCATCCAGATGCGTTTATGAATCTTCAAAGTCAATTTATCGATTTGAAAAGTTGCTCGAGCTTTCTCTCCTGGACACTTGATACATTTGTAATATTGTAATTCAATATTATCGATCGGTGCACGGTTGTCCATGTCACACCAAGGAGAAATAAAACGTGGATCGGTTCTTGTTTACAAAATTGCAGTGAAAAATCGATGAAATTTCAGCTGCAGGCTTCTCGCGTGCGCAAGAAACTCACTGTCCCGGAGGGAGGCGCGTTACATATTTGCATTCGGAGCATCGAAAAAGATAAGGTGGCAGGTGTACGAATATCGAAAAAGAATAAGTCAGCGACTATCTTGATAAAAAAAAAAAAAGAAGAGATGGCGCGATCGAAACTAGTTGTAATCCACCTGAAAGCCACCTGTTCCTTTTACTGAACAGCACGCGATTGCACATAAATATTAAAAATCTACCGGAGAAAGTGATATTATACGGGATGTTCGATAATTACTTATAATAGTGAAAAAATAAAAGGAACCAACGAGAGAAGGCGAATCGAAAGCTGCGAGCAAATTGAATCAATTTTCAAACTAATTCACGAAATAAATAAATTTTCAAAGTATTTTACGATTCAGCAATATTTTCGATATGCGTGGGAAGAGAATTTATACCTGGACGATGAGGGCGGATGGCATCTGACAATCTGGCTACATCAGCTGCATCGCAACGAACAATTTGAGGGATCTGCGCGTAAGAGCCCAAAAAACAGGAAACCACGTTTCTGGCGTACCACACCTCCCGTTGCACGCGTGTTTTGCCGCCGTCCGGTGAAACCTCGTCCGGCAGCGACTTCCGGAATCGTATTACTCTGCGCTCCTGAAAGGCAAAAAGTAAACCCAATAAAGTCACGTCGATTGCATCCGACATTTCGCGGAGAGCATATTTTCTTTTAAAATATAACTGCGAATATAACTGCGCCAAAGTCGACTATAAATGTAGCATGTAATAATCAATGATTTTAACTTTGACATTTTTGTGCAGCAACGCGTTATAAATAAGCGCGCGCAAAATTATAAATCGCAAACGGAAACACATTCGATAAAAATGTCCAGGGCGGACGTTCGTCGCGGTTATTTTCTTCCCGTTGACAACGACACGCTCTCGGTCTTCGCTCGACAAACTAGACTGTAAAAAATTTTTGTGTAAATTTACAATTATTATAGTGGGTAATATTGAGACCAACTATTAAAGTAGTGTATATTTACATACATTAGTAAATTTATATTTCATAGATAAAATTATTATCTTAAATGATAAGTAAGCATCTTGTACTAATAAATTTACATGTTAGAAGTAGATTTCTAGAAATGTTTATGTAATAATACATTTTGTATATATGTATTTATACAATTTCATACATATTAAATTTAATTTAAAATTACATACATAATTAGTGTAACAATTACGCTATTTATAACGAAAATATATAAATTCATGTACTTTTACCAAAATTAGTCATTTTACTCTTTATTGTGTAAATATTCGTTTATCAAGTGTAATTTTTAAATTTTATATAAATGTTACAAAAAATTGTACATTTACATAAAATCCAAAAATTACACTTTTAACCTTGTAATTTCTCATCAAATATAAACGAATATTTACACTATAAAGAGTAAAAAGACTAATTTTTGTAAAAGTACATGAATTTATATATTTCCATTAAAAATAACGTAATTGTTACACTAATTATATGTGTAATTTTACATACTTCTTTTACAGTGTACCCGGTATTTTCTGTGCGCTTGGATATACGCGGTCCGCGTTATCAAGAACAGATCAATCGTCTTTCAACCTGGCGACGTTGAACAAACGACGTATGTAGGTCGACTTTATGAAAAATTCTCGAGTTAAAGATAATAGGATGGTTCGCGGCTCGCCTCGTCTCTTGTTTCCAAGCACATGTTCAACTCTCGATCGAACTGATCGAAGTTATTAATCATATGCGCACGGCCGAAGGTAAGGTTCTAGGACATTCTGTTACCCAAGAGATTCGTTCGAGCTCTCTAATTTTCAGTCAATGATAAATCAATGAGACATCAATACGCGCGCCTAGTCATTTTAATTTTATTTTCTTCATCTTGGACCTTTCACCATATAATATATCTTTTTCTCGCTAATTTCAGCCGAGAAAAAATGCCATTTTAGACATTTTGTGCTCGGACTTTGGAGCGATATAACATGATATTAAAAAATTGTTTTTCCGAAATAAAACATTTGCGATAAATACGTTTTTATCTCGATACGAAAGCGCCCGGTCGACTCTCTCATTGATATTCGGGATTTCGAAAGCCAGCCGTTACTCGCAACAATTTCGCAAGTCTCGGACAAACGTAACTGTTACTTAACAAGCATGGCGCGTTCAGTGTCGTGATTTTCGGCACGTTAGTCGACACGCTCGATCGAGCCGCGATCGATAAACGCATCACGGACCGTATCAGATTTATTAGTCTTACAAAGAAAAATGAGTAACGATTCTATACGTGACTTCAAATATCTCGTGTTCGTTTTTGCACAATCCGAGATCTAAATCGCGTCCTGATTCCGGACGCGAGGAGATTCAATTTAGTCGCTTTCCTTCCAACAAATCGATCCGAAATCGATTGAAACGTCGACCGAAAGCAGGCCGACGTTTCGTTTGCGATTCTCGCGAGTTTTAATCGCGCGAGCGATCACGACGTAGCATTAATTACAAGGGTCTTTGCGCGGAAAACCGGTCACGCGACTAAACGATCGACCGACGTTTCGTCATGTAAAAAGACGGAGATGAACGCGCCCGGGGAGGCCATCGGCCCAATAATGACGTACGCTCGACAGGTTGTTGCTACGCGTTCCACTTTACTGACCGTTCGCCGCCGATATACGTACGAATTATTGACGATTCGATAATAGTCGCGATAGCCAGACACGAGCGACGTCCATGTGTCACGAGGAGAGAAGCGAAAAATAACAAGGTTAATGAAAAACTAAACAAACTCTTCAAAGCTGTCGCGAATGTATATACAGGGTGTCCCATGACTGAAGGTCCATACTTTAAGGGCGTTTTGCTGATGCCATTTAGAGTAAAAAAAGTCTAATAAACATATGTCCGCAAATGCTTCCTAACAGAAATACAAGTATTGAAAGTTGAATATTTAAAAAAAGAAAGACATTTAATTTAATTTGTTCATTTACAAATTCTGTTCGAGTGATTTACCAGCTTGTTCCACCATTCCAGGAGAATTTCTGATTTGTGTTACCGCATCCATAATTCTGTCAAGTTCATCCCTATCGTAAGATTGTTTCGCATAAACCATTGACTTTATATGCCCTGTTAGGAAGCATTTGCGGACATATATTTGTTAGACTTTTTCTTTACTCTAAATGGTGCTGGCAACACGCCCTTAAAGTATGGACCTTCAGTCATGGGACAGCCTGTATACGTCGGAGAAATTTAAACTCTTTGAAGAACGAATTGTTCGACCAGAAAGATAATCGAGGCGAAAATAAAATCTGGAGCTCCAGTTTAATTTCTCGCTTCTCTCGATAAATCTCTCTCGGAGGAGCGTGCGACCCGACGTGAACCGCCAATCGATATATAGGCTAAGTCGGCTGACGTGGTTGCAAGTTTTTCATGCGTCACGTCTATTAATGCGACCGCGTATATACCTGCCTACGTGGTCGTTTTTTTTTCGTATAAAGTCTGTGCCAACAAACGTAGTATCTTTGAGCACGCGATTACAACACGCCTAAAAATACGAATGATCAATATTTTGAAGAAAGTTTGCGTTCAACAACACATTATATAAAAAAAAAGATTGCGATACGTTTGTCTTGAAATTTCTCTCGCATTTCATGCCTTTTAATTCTTTTAAAAAATACCGTTATTGGCGTTCGAGCGTTATCACTTGCACGGTGTTGTCGGCCCCTTTGGACGCTCGGTATTTATATGATTATTACTCAAATATCTTCATACTAGCAACTGATACGCGATGCAAAAAGTTTCGCCATTTATAGCGGTCACGGCTAAATATGTGCCGTCTATCCGCATTAGACTTTGCCGCGACGAAAGGGTTAACATTGGTCGCGTTTAAAAATATGAATAAAGATATCGATGGTCATACATCGAGGTTCGCTTTGTGTAATCAGTTTTGCAATATGCAAGTGGCGACAATAATTCTTTATTTACGCGCTCGCGAATGACGCGATGCGCGCGATACGCAAAGATTAAATAAACGATCCGTAACGCAAATTATAAATTAATTGCCCGCGGCGGAATAACATCTCAACCGGGCCCGATCGAGGCAAAAAAATGCTAATCGCTTCTTCCAGCTGCGTAAGCGAAATTAAGCAGCGAAGAGATCACGAGGCGCGTTTCGACCTCGACGAAACGCTCGATGAATACCGCCGCCGCGAACGTTAAATCGCTCGTATAATGTTGGCTTTCTACACACGAGTAGTTTTTAGTAGTTAATCTACGAGTGACTTCCAAGAGTAAATAACATTCCTCTTTACGCAATGCGAAACGACCGACTTGAATACTTATGCGGGCGCTCCGATAAGAGGATAACGCGCTGTCGGAGGCTGATCAAGCCTCGAAATATATAATGTATACGCTTGATATGCTCTGACGGCACGGCTTTCAAATCTGTCCCTCTCTCCCTCTCTCTCTCTCTCTCTTTCTGTTGTATTGTAGATACGTGACGTAAGAGTTTGGATTAGATTGGAGCTGTCGCGCCTCGATTGGAGCGCACGGACGGTAACATACGAAACGGCAGGAAATCGATATCGACGCCGATTCGTTTCGATTCCGCGAAAGAAAGAGAGAAAACCGGATGCCCGCTTCGGCGAACCGTGTCCGGCGCGTACGAGCTCATTAAATTCAACACGACCCGTCCTCGTCCGCCCGCGACAGATCGGATCGGCGCCAGAAACCCCAGCGACGCCGATATCGCGCCTGCAACCGCGCAAAACACGCGAGCGCGCAATTTCCTGCCAAAAGTGTCGCGTCGCGGCTTTTGCGGTTCAACGCAAACTATACGTAACGCCATTATCTCGCCGGGTCATATTCGTAAATTTCGTCCTACATTATTTACGTTTCGTTCCTCTTTTAAAACGAGCGCGATTGGAGCGAATTAAAGGACCCGACTCTCGGAATACTTTTGCCTCGAAATCGGTCAACGAAAGAGAGTCGAGGAAAGACGCGAGCAACGTTGTACCGTTGCAAAGATGAGCGATTAATCTCGCGAGCATTTTCTTTTTTCCAGCTTAAGTGTGTCCCGGCAGGGGCACACGTGGACGAGGGTCAACGAACCTCCGGAACCTTTGGAAGAATCGCGGAAGCGTGTTAATTACAAATCGCTCCGACGGTGGCATCCATCGATCGCGCCCGACCATTCATCACTCGACGATCGCCAGCACAGTTCTGAGGCGAGCGGCGGATCGATCGGTCGGCCGATCCCCACTTTGTTGGCCTCCTTTCCTCTTCCACCTCGTCCGCGTCCCCACCGTCACCGGGAGGTCAACGGCCAACGGTTAATGGTCCCTCTTTCTCTCTCTCTCTTTAACCTTGCCGCCGATAAGTCGCTCCTCGTCTCTCTTTCTCTCTCGTACTCGCGACAACTCACTTTGGCGGTTACTCGCCACCATTCGCTCCCTCTCGTGCGCATCCTCTTTCTCTCTCTCTCTCACACACACACACATACCTCTCTATTCAACGCTCGCTCTTCCCCGAGTCCTCCTCCGAGATGAGAGAAGCGCAGCGCGTTCAACGGCGTGACGATCCAGCGATGGTGCGGAGGACCGTGTGCACGCGCATCGGGCCGCGATCTATGACTGATTAGGCAGAGATAGGCAATTATCCGCACCTTCGAGAGACGAGGCAAACGGAGCGAACCAGGAGGACGAGCGATCATCGTCCCGCGTCGTATCATTGATCCCGGATTCGCAATTCTATTTCAATATCGACTCCCCTCCGGTTCCTCGACGGTTCCTTTTCATCGACGGCGCGACGATGAATCCAACGATTCTTTCAGCCGACTCTATTTCTACCCTATCGCTAATGGCGTGACGATAATTCATTCCGTACCCACACGCGTGTCGGATCTGCAATTTATAGCTGATTAGAGACTGCTACGTAGGCATTCGACGATTGCGACTTGCCGCGCGGGCAAGAAGAGAAGCGGCATTCCGCGAAACAAATACCGATATTGCGGTAACGTCCGTGCCAGTAAAGTCAGATGTGTATCATTGGTAATCGCGCGTAACCGCCAATGAGACGTCGCTGTCGGCGTGTTGTACTTGGAAAATAGCGTAATGCCTGTAATCGCGGAATCTGCCGAGATGGCCGATTCGACGACATATCGTGCAACGGGAGAATAATATCGGTTCCGAGTCGTACATCGCGTGATGATCAAGCTTCGGAGTCTTCCCGTTTCGATGCAACGCGACGTGAGATTGCGCTTTGAAAGATTATTTCTTACGTAAATTCTACGCCGAAAAAAAGGACATTCTTGTTTTGAAAATATACTTAGTTTTAACATGGAAATCTTGAAGAGATGTATTGCGTTAATTAAAGAAAAATAATAATTGCTTGAATAATTGCTTACTTGAATGAAGCCATTTTATATAGTTCAATCGAGAAAAATATATTCTTACGATTTAAGATTTAATTTTCTCGAAAGGAAACAATGTTGGATAGAAAATAACATTTTTAAATCAAAGATTGATAATTAAAATAAGACTATAATATTGTTGAAATTTAAAATTATTAAATTCTAAATTGTTGCGTATATACGAAACAATGAACGCGTTAGTTTAAGTAAACAATTTTTGATTTGACACTTATTTTTTTTCTGTGTATTTTTACTATATGTATATTCTTTCGCGTGCATTTTTCACCTATTACGCACCATCTAGGACACGAACTATGAGAAAATGTCTCTCTTTGACATCACTGATACTAGACTCGATATCCAGCAAAACGGAAAATCGAGTTAGCAACTTGCTGGGTTAAGTTGAGTTGGAAAAGGAGTTGGACAGAGACGAGCCTCGCAGACTCGTTAAAGCCGTCGTAAAATTCAAAGCCGATAAACGCGATGAATGAGCGAAAAGATAACGTTGGAGGGGTATATCATCGGGTAACGACGTTTCGCTCCCGCAGCTGGTGTCGCGATTAACGACTTAATTTACTATTCTCTGATTTAATGCATTGGACGGTGGAATCATATTTCAACAATCTTTATAACGGAAGAGAAAGACGATTGTATCGAGACACCGATAGTCTGTAAAGAGCGATTGGGAACTGAAGGGATTCGACGCGCAACGAATTGCAAGAAATGAAGAATAAAACGAAATGGCGTAGCCTACATTCTCGTTTAAAGATACTTGTCGGAATTGCCGAGCATTCCAAAGGTTAAAATCGAGCCTCGAAAATGTTTTCGTTCAGTACCCACTCGATTTCTCCTTTGCCGCTGATTGTCTCTTTGGAGTCGATGCAGCCGAGTCACGTAATAAAATTACAAACCTACGGCGGCGATGACTCAACTCGCGCGGGTTAAGGTCTCTACGTGAAGAGGAAATACGTGACGACGAAAGAGACAGGGGGGGAAGAAAAAGAGAAAGAAAAAATAAAGTCGGGAGAAACGACCGCGAGCGAGTTTGCGCGATTAATGGCGTTTGTACTTTTAAATTGTCGACGTATTATTTTTCTCGATATTGTCCAGAGGCGGTCCTAATTTCTCGTCCTTCATCCACGGAGACCACGGTGGAGCTGTTGGCGAGCACGTGTGCAGGTTCGACAAACTTTCGACGGAGGTCCTAGTTACGGTGAGCGTGCATGCATGTTATCAAAGTGCACAACGACCGCATAATACGAAGCAGAGCATCGTCTGTCGCGGCTTCGTGCAACGGGAGTAATCGTATAATGGGAGCTCGAGCGCTGGTGCAACGTTATTTCGGCGTTGTTCGCGTCGGGCTTAAAGGGCGATGCAAAATTCAGAGCTCCCTACATTTGGTAATAAGCTGGGCGGAGTGAAGCTCGGCTCGGCGAATGATTCAAAACGGATCCGCGGAAAAATAAAAACTGTCGAATCCGCGAACCGTGAACCTACCGGTTGCCATCCGCGATATATTCTCTCGCGTATCTTGCAATTTTACAGACGCGCGCGTCCATCGCGCGAGATGCGATAACGATGATTCGGATCGCGGCGTATCGCACACACCTATACGCGTACAATCATCGTCCATTTGCGATAAGTCCACGATGCATACGTCCGCGGGCGCATCGCGCGTTATCGATCTCGCGAAACGCGCACCTGAGGAGACGCGCAAAGTGGAAAAATTCATTTCCTGCAACGTGACGTGACACGCTCCGCATAAATAAACGGAGAAGATAAGAGACGAACGTCACGAGTAATTAAACGAAATTATTTATGCTCCCGCGGATCATTTGTCCGCGTCCCGAAAGAATACGCGCCCGTAGAGTCTGTTAATTCGACTGTCTCCCTGTCGCAGACGGTTAATTACACAGTTTTCAGATAATCGTCAATTACATGGGAGTGCGCGAGATATCGTCGCGATGGGACTTTGCGTTTCTCGTTACGAATCTTTCTTCGTTAAATCGAAATTGACTTTTTTTTTTCCGACAGAGATACTCGCGCGAAATGACGTAACGACGCGAGAATCTCAATCGTCTCGGTTCGATTATTAATAACGAACGCATCAACGTTAAACGTCATCGTATCCGCTTGTTTTTCCCCCGAGATTTTTATTCGCTCTTGCAAAATTACTATCGCGCCGATAACTGCCTCGGGACTTTTGCCCGCGAGAACCTCGTAAGAAATCGCGTGCATTTTTATTCGTTGACGATTCGCGGACGATCGATTATCGCAAATGCGAGATGCTCTCCTCCTCTTCCTTTCCCTCGTCTCTGCATTGCCGAGGGCGAGTGATTATTTGCGCGTTTTTTGCGCATTTGCATCCTGGGTGTACATTTACGCGATTTGCACGTTAGACGACATTCAATCGCGAGGGTATTAAGCATTACAAGGTTTTTCCACTCTTCTTTCGCGTTATATCTGTATATCGGTACTAAACACACAGTCTAGAAAATTCCATTTACGTTAAGAGATGTCTCTGCAAAGATTACAAGGTAGGACGCTTTTTGCTCTCGCCGGAATCAACGAGAGAAAATGGCTCGACGACCCCAACCGGCGCCGAAAACGTTGCGGAGACTCGACTAATGCAGTTGCGGACAGGAAAAGTTTGGGATCAAAAAGAGAGTCGGACGTTGTAATACGGCGAGATCCGCGAGAGCAAAGTTGAGTTTATTCTGGGTTGGTTTTGTCTTTACTTAGTCCGAATCGTGGAGAGATCTTTGAGGAAATAATTTTCAAGGGCTCGCCGATGAGGTTTGAGAAGCGTAAAAGAGGGCGATGGTAAATAAATGTCGAGATTTCTAAGCTCTTTGATTAATGATTACGTGCGAATCTTTGGAGGTCTCAGTCCACGACGTCAAAAATTTGTTTGCCAAATTTTCAGCAATGCAGATACTTGTCGAGAGATACTATATATATATATATACGCGGAAGTATGTAATTATTGACTTACGTGAGGTAATGCGATAACGATATTGGCGTTTCCTTCCCCTTTGTAAACCACATCCTGTACAGCAAGAGTCGTAAGGGATAGATTCGTCTCAAACGATAAATCTTCTCCAACACTTTCGGCAGTCATCGTTTTGGGAAAACGTGGTCAATTTCGAAAGAAACAATCTTCTTTGTCTTGTCACTTTTCGTCGATATATCGCCAAATCTGTAAGCAGACAAAAATAATTTGGTCAATAAACAAATTTTCTGAAAGCTTGAATTTTTTTATTAATAATATTTTTTTTTTAATTTTATCGTTTCGATATGTATCACTAGAGCAAATAATTTGTCGATTTACCAGATCGATATTTATAAATAATACTGTTATTTCATGAAAATAAAATTTAATTGTTTTACGAATGTGTGAGATGAACTTTTATTTCAGCAAAGGACATTTTGCAAAAATAATTATAATTAACGTATGATCATTGACATTTAAATGGAATCGATGATGTCAATGGAATCGTCATGTAATGTCAAATTGTGCCGAATAGTCCAACATTGACGGAATTAAAAAGTTCATGCACTCCGCCTTTACTGCATTATCAGTTACTCTTCTCATTCGGATGTCAATGCGTATGATAATATTTTGGAAGAGACAAAAGAGATACGGAAAAAATTTGAAAAATTTTATCATATCGCTTAAGTGCTCGAGAAGAAATTTGATTCTCGACTTGATAGAGTTGTTGAAAAATTCGTTGAGATTTTTTTCAAACGTCACATTGTGTATTTAAAGCGTATTTAAATACAGTACCATCTATTACTTAAAAGAGAAAAAAAGATTTATAAATTTTTGCTACGATTCAATCTCTTCGAAATATTGGAATTTCGATCGGCGCAAAGGTACTCGCGTCGCGATTCGATATCTTTATCGGATGCATATCCACGCGTTGACGTAACGCGCGACCATGCGAGGTATATCAAGTCGGTCAAGATTTGCGCAGCCCTGACATTCCTTCGGGCCTGGCCGGTAGCAGCCAGCGATCCGGGAAGAAAAATCGTCCGCTTCATCGGGAGCTGGTGAAAGTCGAGCAAAGACCGCGGCGACTTTATTACGCGCAACTGTGGAAATTCAAACGCCGATATCGATCCCGGCCTCGATCGCGCTATCGGAATCACGCGATACGCTCAGCATCCCGGATACGAAATCGCTCGCCCGTCAATATTAGCCTTCACGGTCTTAAATCTAGCAGACTCGAGCAGGCCTGATCTGCAAAGGTCTCGATAAAGAAAACGTAGCAACGCTGGTCTTTCTCAATTAACATGAAAAAGATAAGTTGCGCGCAAAGTACGGTTCCGAAATAAGTCCCCCGATGACGTGTCCTTACACATGTACATTACTAATGAAAGAGCCGCGCGATGGGCAACACTTTCTCCCGCGCTATATTACATACATTTACGAAACGTATTTGTGTAAAATAACCGCGCGCCGCCGCCGTCTTACGTTGCGTAAGCTCCTTATTCAGGAATACGAATTTCTCACACCGCCTCGCCTTTTAGACACGTTCGAAGCCTTTCTGCCTCTGATGACGTAATTACCCGCTGCCAATGACCACCGTAATTGCAAGAAACGCTGTCCGCGCGATAGACGTCGAGGCAGCTTTATTACGAACATCATTGTCGTCGAAAAAAAGAACTCGATAGACTTGCTTGTGAAAATAACGCGTAATTCAACCAGTCGCTTAAAATTTGTAAAGAGAAGAGTATTATTTGCGTAAACACATGAATCTTGCGCGAATGTGTGCGTTTGCTGTTTGCAATAAATTATAAAATTGCGTTACGCTATTACTCATCGTAAAGTGACGCGCGCGCTCTTACAGCCTGATGAATAAATGTCTCCCGTGAAGGACCGTTGGATCGATTACGAAATATTTCAGCTCGATAAAGTGGAAAAAGAAGAAGCGAACTTTTCGAATGGATCGATCGAAGCTTGAATCGATCGACTTTCCACGACTGTCGCAAACGTTATGAATAAAAAAAAAAGCAATACGCTAAAAATACATATCCTCCTCTCCACGTCCAATATATAATACGATATATTATGGTCCGCGACGCTTATTGACGAGTAACCTGTTGAATTTTGCAGAGGTCGTCGAGCACCTGTCACGATGCCTCGAGTAGTAATGTAAAAATACGCTCGTAAAGTGGATTCTTATGCAATCGGACGCTTAAAACTGTCAAAGCTGATGGTCGAGCGTGGCATCGGGAGGACTCGAGCATCCGACGCGAGAACAACGCTATATCGGTCGCGAAATCGCCAATTCCGCGACGCGCGTTTAGCCTATTTATGGCTATACTCGCGAAACGATGAGTCACGCGAATGAAGTCATTTATGTCGGTAATAAAAGAGAATCGCGCAAACTTTCGAAAGCGTCTCGTTAACGAGCGAGCCGCCATCGAGATGCAAATTAGAGACGAGGGAAAGAAATATTGTCCAAATATTGCCGGTACTGTCCCAAATTGTGACGTCACCAGCGCAAAAGTAGGAAATATTGCTTCGCAAAAAAAAAAAAAAAACTTGGCAATCGCAGCACATTATTGTTTCGCAAGATCGCAAGTATGTTACTCAATGATTGCATTGCAATTGAATTCGTGCGTCGATACTGAATCGAATAAAATTTTCCGTACAGTCACTTTTCCCAATTATCTTATTTAATCACAATTTTTATTAACCAGAGATTGCGCGTTTGCTCGCTTCGTCGATATTTAAGTCGATCGACCTTTTTGTAAATCATTCGATAATAGCGACACGCACGTCAATGATTGCGAATCGCTTAATGGCATTCTGCTCGCGAAACGAATTACGATGCGAGAAGCGAGTAATAATAATATCCGAGAAGGGCAAAGAGACGATTGGCAAAGAGGACGACGCGTACGCGATTACGTTTGGAAAATTAATATAGGACGCTACATTCGATCCATGTATTTGTCGCTAGGCATTTTATTAAACGTACGCCTCTCGCCGTCTTGCTCGTTCCAAACGACAGGAAAGACTTAACACGTTGTAACTTTCGAACTGGAGCAGGCTGTAATTTATATCCGATAGCGGCGTTATTTTCTCCACTCGCCGGACGCATATCTTCCTTTACCGTTAGCCTAACCGTCGCGTCGACCGCGCGCTTAAGAGGTAATTGTCTCCTGCTGCCGTCAAGCATGCCTTAGAAAAGCGGAGTAGCGCGTCGCGCGAAGCGATAATCTCGTTACAAGGCCGGTCATCTTATTACGCGCGCTACATCGATAGAGAGAAAATGCATTATAAATTATATTATAAAGTGTATCAATTATATCGACGATTCGTAAGAAAAGGATGAAAATCTACGTCGCGTCCGAAGAAGCGACGCGTACGTTTTTCTCTCATCTTAACATTCGTGGGAAATGCGGCCGATGTCTGAAACGCTCGAGCGCGGATGCACTTTTCACCCAACTCGCGTCTTCGTCTACATACGTGGCGCAAGGGTCTGCGGATAATATAGGCGACGTTGCCAGAACCGAAGCACGTCTTATCCATTTTCGCGTAAGGTTAACGACCGCCCGAGGCTTGCGAAACTCGGAACGGATCGACGGAGCTTCGCGCGCAGCGTGCACGCGACGCGATGCAACGACGGCGACGTCGAGATGCACCGACGTAATTGGAAACGCCGCGTTTAATGTCGGCGGGCGGACCAAACTTTCCGAGGACCGTAAAGCCGCCCCGGGCCGATTAACCCCCAAGTACGATCGTGGGGTAATTAAAACTTTCCAATTTCGCGGCGCACAACAGGACCGCCGTAGAGAAAGACTCGAGTCGTAAAGGGAGACTCGAACATTGGAATTCTCTTGAAACGTATGACGATTATAATTTCGCTGCAAATGTACACGTACATAGATAATGGCAAATGTTTGAATAAATTGTAATATATTTGTAAATTCTCGCAATTTATCGCTCCAATCTTGACATTGTTCCAAGCGTTGAATTCAAATTTGGCGAGAGTATATAGTCTAATTAAAATAATTAATTAAAATAATTTCGCTAATTATTCGCATTTCAAGGAGCTCGAATAGATTCGTATTCTCAACTGTTGACAAACTCAACAAATTAATGATCAAATTACCATTAACGCCTAGACATTTTCCTTACCCCCTAGAAATGAAATTGTAATTAAAATCTCGGATATCCCGCGCGGCGCGCTAGGCGATAAACAATCCCCAAAGAGATTCCGGGTTCGTCTGGAGTGGTCCGGCAGACTCGCCAATTTGCCAAGCGCCGTTCTTCGACGTTGCGCAAGAACGGCGTTCGCGAGCAGAGAGTGCACTCAACGTGGGACAATGCGCCGCATCCCGAGGCAGGGAGCGCAACTCGGGGAAGGAGAAAAAAAAACGGCGACAGCGGCGGAGGCTCACCGTTGTTCTCGATGATAAGAGGCGGAGCGTGTGACTGAGCGAGTGCGAGAGAAAGGAGGGAGACGACGTAGGGGGATGACGAGAAAGGAGGACCTTGTTCCCTTCGCCGCGACGCAATCGATAAGCGCAATTAAGACTCGCCTTTGAGATAAACGAAACAGAGAGCGAGAATGAGAGTCTTTGCGCTAATGACGAGGGGGAGGAGGGGGAGAGGGGGGGGAGAGGAAGAAAAGGGCGAGGAAAAAGGGCCTCGGCCGCCGCCGTCGATTATTATCTCGCTGCCTTTTCACTCGCGAGGCTCTCGACCAAACTCGAGATACGCTTTCGGATATATCGAAAAATGAGCGACAAAGATTGCGTCTCGCTCGTACCGTTTATTTACCTGAGATTGGCCGCGAGACGATGCGGCTTACGTTTTCTAGACGATGTCGGAGATCGCGCGATGCCATCTGGTCACGGTCCTCTCGCCGATTATTCACGGAAAGAATCGTGAATCGAGCTCCTCGGGCCAGCTCGATCGTGCCGATCGAAGCAGCCGCCGATCTCTTCGAGATATTACGCAACGTTGGCCGAACGGCGTGCAATTGGCAGGCAACAAAGTGTGATGCCTCGGTAGCCTCGGCAAAGAGGTCGCGCGGAAGAGATTGACAGAGGAGGATGGATGCCCAAGGCAAGAGGGATAGAAAGAGAGAGAGAGAGAGAGAAGGGGGAAGCAAGTTTGTGCGTTGAACAGAATCAGCAATTCTAACCTACAAGGGAACCACCACTAACCGACGTGCGGGCCAA